ACACACACTCACACACCCACATATATTGTGGTTTTCTCCATATATAGTATTATATATAGTGCATTTTTGTTCAGATTTATTCCATGTACACTTGTAAAACTTGTAAACATTCCATATTTTTAATTATATTATAAATGACATTCTCATTTAAGTGTCCTATTGCTACTAACTGTCCATTGCTACTATTGTCCATTGCTACTAACTGAAAAACTATTTATGATGTATTTTATTTTAAAATAAGCAGAGAAATACTCAGGATTGTCATACATAAACTTTTTTTTTTTTTTTTGTAACATAGTTATGGCAAGACTCAGAAGATAAGAGATCATCAGACAATCAGAGTAAAGTATTGGCCCAATATTTAAAGCACAAATATTCACCTTTCAGGCACTTCAGTTTAATGAGAGGTCTCAGGATACAAACTTAACCAGTCAAGTAGGTCCTCAAAGAAGTTTCGTTGGTTCTACGGTTCGAGGTAGCGGGGTCAGGCAAGGTTTTCTTTAGTACAGTTTCTAAGCAGCACTGGTCCTTTGCAAAGCTCAGGAGACAGACTGACACAACATTAGTTGCTTCTGGTTTGCTGTCTATAAAAAGACTAACGTCGACAGCTTTCGTGCGATTTTAGACCCTTTGCTCTTGCCTGACAAACCCTTATGTGAGCTAGCCTCTAGTGATTGCATACGGGTAACCTAGGTGCCTTTAGCTATGTACCTATTGATTTCATTCATTTTCAGGGATGAGTATTTGGGGTGTTTTAACACAGATAATAAAGGCTGTTTCACACTTTATAATGAAGCAGTTGTCTTACAACAAGTAGTTAGCTATAATATTGCAATGCAAACAACAGAAACTTGCTCATCAGTTGTAAAATGAAACCCTATGAGTACGCATTAGATTACTGACTATAAGGCTGTCTGTTCAAAGCCACCAGCTACTCCTCAGGACAAAAATGATGTTCTCTGATTCCTTTAAATTTTGCAACCTTGGAAACCCTATATTGGGTTACTGTGAGTCAGAATCAACTCAATTGCAGTGGGTTAAATATCTAAGTGGCCCAAGACATGCTTCACACATAGGTTATCTGGAGGTAATTTCATCATATTCCTGTTAGGTGTCATCCAATCAGCTCCAACCCGTAGCGACCCTCTGCACAGTAGAATGAGATACTGCCCAGTCCTGCGCCATCCTCACATTGTTCCTACGCCTGAGCCCATTGTTGCGCAACTGTGTCAATCCATCATGTCAAGGGTCTTCCTCTTTTTTGCTGCCGCTTCACTTTACCAAACCTGATGTCCTTCTCCAGGGACTGGTCTTTCCTGACAAATACGTCCAAAGTACGTAAGAAGAAACCTTGCCATCCTTGCCTCTAGGAAGCACTCTGATGTCCAAGACAGATCCAGTTGTGTGGCTTTGAGCCCTGGAGCTGCTCAAGGGTTCCAGAGATATACAATGGCTCAAGTTCCTCAAGAAGAGAGTGAGACATGGATTAAACCTCCGGGGAACTCCCCTGACCAGAGTCGAGGGACGTGAATAGCCTTGCTAGCATGTAGGGTGAGTTAGAAAGTGGATTCTTGCAGATGAGGTTCAGTTAAAACTTAACATCTTATTATTTGATCTCCCTTTTGATTCATTTAATTTTTTTTCCAGTTTTAAATATTCCTGCTTTCTTTACAATGATTTCTGTTGGATTTACTTTGCATCATTGTTGGTTTTGGGGATTTTGTTGGTATGTTTTTCTGTGTATGGAATCCAGAATAGGTAAAACTAGAGAGCCAGTAACT